TTACTTCATTACACATCTAAATTCCTCAGATGAGGAGTTCTTGTCTCAGGGCCTACTTGATGGCCACCTGGTGATTTTGCTCTCCTTATATTCCCCCTGACAAATATTTTGGTAAGATCTTTGACTCTTTAGTAATGATCAGAATGTTGGTAGAAATATGGACAGTAAAGGCCATTCTGATGAGGTCTCACATAGAAATGAGGAACCAAGTATTATAAACTGGAGGAAAGGCTGACCGTCTTCATTATAAAGCGGCAAAGAACTTGGCTGAATTGTTTCTGTGCCCACACAAGGGCTTTGTGGAAGGCATAGTTGACAAGCAATGAGCTAAGAAATCCAGCGAAATAAACATCTAAACAAAAAAGCGTTCAATATGTTGTGTGTCTTCCTTCAACTGCATATGGTAAAATGCTAGAGAAAAAACGATTTAAAGATGGAATTTGTAATTAAAAGGGAGCCAGGCACAGTAGCTCGTGCCTATAATCCCAACACTTTGGGAGGCCAAGGCAGGTGGATCACTGGAGACTTGTTGCAGAGGTGGAGTAAAAGCAGAGAGCCCTCACTAGGGCAATGCTCAGAGGAAACCCAGCTTCGATGCAGAAGTTCTGTTGGGCATTGCCTTAGTCAGGGCTCCCTCCAGTCAGCACTGTTGGGTCAGAGCCACTGCAGAGAGTCCCCACTCAATGCCTAGTAGAATATTGGGAGTGGACTGCCCAAGACCCCTATAACTGTGGGGTTACTAGTATGCAACACCAGCCTAAGAGAGCTGCCGGCATGAGACTCCAACCTATGAGAACTGCTTTATGGGCTAAGCCCAGAAAAGCCATAGGGGCAGGACTGCCTAAGGCCTTGGGGGCCCAATTCCACCTCAGTGTGTACAGGAGGTAAGACAAGATGTCAAGGAAGCTTATTCTGGAGCATTAAAATTTAATGTTGTTCACCCTGTTGAATTTTGGACTTACCTGGGATGGGACCCTCTTTTCTTATCTATTTCTCCTTTTTGGAAAGGGAGTGTCTATCCAATGCCTGTCCCACCATTATATTTTAAAACGCATAACTTGTTTGGATTTCACAGGCTCACAGCTGGAGAGGAATTCGCTTCAGGATCAATCATGCCTTCAGTTATTTGAGTCAGATAAGACTCTCGACTTGGGCCTTTTGAGTTGGTGTTGGAACGAGTGAAGACTTATGGGGCTATTGGGATGGAATGCATGTATTTTGTATGTGAAAAGGACATGAGTATTGAGGGGCCATTGATGAGATGCTATGGTTTAAATGTTTGTCCCCACCAAAACTCGTGTTGAAATTTGATTGCCATTATTACGGTATAGGTTGAGTATAACTTATTCAAAATGCTTGGGATTAGAAGTGTTTTAGCTTTCAGATTTTTAAATATTTGCATTATACTTACCAGTTGAGCATCCCAAATCAAAAAATTCAAAATCTGAAATGCTCCAGTGAGTATATTTGCATTGAAATGCTTCTGATATTGGAACATTTCAGATGTCAGATTTTCGGATTTGAGATGCTCAACCTGTATTAAGACATGGAGTCATTAAGAAGTGATTAATTAGCTAGGCATGGTACTGTGTGCCTGTAGTCCCTTCTGTTTGGGAAGCTAAGAGAGAATCACTTGAGATTTGAGAATACAGCGAACTATCCTCCAATTTGAGGATACAGTGAACTATGATTGCAGCCTGGGTGAGAGAGTGAGGCCCTGTCTCTTAAAATTTAAAAAAAAAAAAAAAAAAAAAGGAGAAGTGATTTTTAAAGACTTAGGCCCTGACTCTTTAAAAAAAAAAAGTTGGGGGGGGGGCTCTGCCTTCATGTAGGTTAATGCCATTATGTTTGTTATTATACAAAGGCAAGTTTGGCCCCCTTTCACTCTCTCGCCCTCTTGCCTTCCACCATGTGATGACACAGCAATAAAGCTCTCACAAGATGCTGGCATCTTGATCTTGAACTCCCTGGTCCCCAAATGACCCAGTGCATTTCTGTTTATTATAAATTACCTAGTCTCAGGTATTTTGTTACAGCAGTGCAAACGAACTAAGGCATATGCCATTCATAAAGAAACAAGATAGGGAAAAGTGAAAAGTAATCTAAAATTCCAACAAAAGTATATCACATTAGCAAATATTAAGAATGCTGTGAAATACATTACTTGCACAGATCTAGTAAAACACGCACTTTCATCGTGTATTTTGTTGGAATACATTCGTATAACAGATTTTAAAGTTTAATCAAGCTAGCTTTTAATGTTCATGCTCTTTGACAAAGCAATGTTTCTATGGCAACTTATCATCCAGATACAGCCTGAAGAGGCCATAGCCATCATCACTTATGTGTCCCAGCTGTTTCAGACTGAGCTTTTTCCTAGCTGGCTTGTTGCCTTCAGCCCCCCGACCCTGCTTCATCCATTCTTCCATCCAAACAGGGAAATCTGTCTCATAGCTGGATCCACCTCAAGCATTGATATGGAGCCACGCTCATGTTCTTCTATCTCTTGGTTCAAACTAGAAAATCTACCATTACAAGATGCTACAAAACATGTACTCCTCACCACAGTAGACCATCCATGGAGCTACTTCAAGCACTGATATGGAAGAGTGCTCAGGTCTCTACTCCTGAAGGGACCTGTAGACATCCAATCTCATCCCTGCCTGGAAGAAGTCTCCCACCTGTCTCCTTTCTGTGTCCTCAAAGGCACAGGCAGGTGAGGGGCCTTGGCTTCTGCTTTTTGCCCTGCCATAAACCTCCATTCAGACAAGGGGAAGGGGCACAAAGCCTGGCTTCCTCCTGCAGAAAGGGTAAACACAGCGAGAACAGAGACCAACCTCACAGTACCAAGTATCCTGATAAATTTGCTAAAGGGTTAAGATGTACTTATCGATGTAAACCTAAGAAAGGTTTACCTATTCAGTCACAAGGATTTACTCCTGTCTTTTCTTGTAGATGTTTATGCATTTGGATTTTATAGTTAGGTCTCAGATTCAGTTTGTGTTGATTTTGTATATGTTTTGTTATATGGATTACAGGTTATTTGTGTGCATATGGATATCTACTTATTACAGAACCATTTGTTTAAAAGACTGTTTTTTTCTCCACTGAATAGTCTTTAAAGCTTTGTCAAAAATCAGTTGTCCATTTGTGCATGGGTTTATTTCTGGATTCCTTATTCTGTCCTTTTGATCTACTTTTCCCCTTCAATGCCAGCAGCACACTGTCTTGATTACTGTAGGTTTATAATGAGTTTTGAAATTAGGTAGTGTTTGTCCTATACTTCTGTTCCTTTTTACAGTTGTTTTTCACAGTTTAGGTGCTTTGTATTTGTATATGATTTTAACACCCACTTGCCAGTTTCTTTGAAAAATGTGTAGAATATTTATTGGGATTGCACTGAATCTGTATATTAGTTTGTGGGGAATAAGCATCTTAACAATATTGAGTCTTCTGACTCATGAACACAGTATGCCCCCTACTTCTTTGGGTCTTCCTTAATTCTCTCAGCAATGTTTTGTAGTATCCAATTTACAAATGTTCCACATCTACGAATAGGTAATTCATAAATATTTCATACTTATTGATGCTACTGTCAATGGCATTATTCCTTAAATAGAATTCTTAATTATTATATTTTCACTGAACCATCAGCAACCAGATTTTTAATAATAGCTATTGAAGAATCTGGCAAAAAGCACAGGCTACTCCAGGATGGAAAAGGTATTTGATGATTAATGTCCATGTACATGTATTTCTATATCAGCTTTTAGAAATCATTGGCAATACACTGAAACTAGGGATAAAAATGTACCACTGACAGTTCTACAGGTAATCTCCAGAAAAGTCAATTACTAAAATAATATGGGTTAGTAGCATTCAACTTTATGTTTATGCTGTATTTGAATATGTTACAACGTGAGGTTGTACTTTTTTGTCCCCAGTAAACCCACCTTAAAAAATTCCTGGGATCTTGGATGGTGACAGAGCGTTGGGGAGAGGGCATGCATGTATATGAGTATTTGTGAATGTATCAATTTGTGTGTTGCTGAAGCTGCCAGAAATGTGTATTATGAGGTGTTGAGACTAATTATTATGTATTATGTCAGCCATATTCATTTCCTAGCACATCTTAGTAACAAGATATAAGGAGTTATTTGTTTTTTCCCAGTGTTCCTTGGCTAACCTGGTTACCATGGTGACTCAGTGACTCATGGGGATTTAGTATAGAGCATCCATTTATGATTTTTGCCTGCGTCACTTATTTCTATGATAGTTCTGAAGTGTTGTTTTTACATTTCTGATATGCCTTTCAAAATTATGAGTTGGCATTTAGAACAGGGCAGAGTTTTATCTTATTTATTTATTTATCTGTGTATGTATCAGTGTGACTCAGAGATTCTCATTTTTCCCAAAGGATTATCCTGTGCTATTATTATTATATATTTTGAGGCTCAAATTGTCCCAGAATTGGCCAGTGGAAAGAGCTTAAAGTTGGCTTCAGTGCCCAATTGACCCCTCCCTAAAATTCCTTGAGCATGTACTTTGCTCTATATATATCCTCATTTGTAGAAAGGAAGTAATGACGCCCACCTCAGAGCATAGCTTTAAGCATTTGAAGATAAAAATTCTGGAGATAACAACCCACATTGTATTGAATCTAGTAGGCCTTCAACAAATGTAAGTTTCCCACTCCAACTTAGCCTCCTTCATTCTGTCAGTGTGAAGTCTCTGACATTAAAATTAACATCATGAATACCAAAGAGAATACTTGGAAATGTGACAGAAAGCAGGGATAATTCCACATTTCTGTTATGTGCAATCTTGAGTATCACTGCTGTGTCAGGGTGGGGACAGTGAGATGAAGCTGGGGGAGAGGAAAAACTTCATTGCACAGCTTCCAGTTAACTGAATGGGGGATAGGCAAAACATCATCACACGTAGAACCTCCTTAGCCATCCTCTCTTTCCTTACTATTTCATTTCTTATTTCCCTTCTAGTGTAACATCAGAGAAAGGGTAGACTCTGCACCCTAGAACCTGGAGCTAACAGAGAAAAACTGTGATGTGGACTCTGCTAGACAGGCTACTGGAGTAAGGGTGAAGTGATGAAGATCTCATCATTGGGACATATTAAGTAAGTCATTTCCCTTCCATCAGCCTCGTGTATACATCAGGATAATAATTCCCAATCTTCCTGACCATGCAAGAACACTCTGGAGATTAACTGTGATCACATAAGGGAAAGCAATCTGTGATCTTAGGTGGGAAGGAAGAAGCAGTCACTTTTGAGTAATTACTTTAACGGAGACAATCCAGATGTCAGAGGTCTCCATGGTGGGCATTAAATTAATGGCACAGTAATGTGAGCTGTTTTCATCAGAATTTTACCAAGTATGGTCCATGGACTACTTCATCAAAATCATCACAGATTGCCTGTTAAAATAGTAGATATTTGGGTCTACCAAAAATTAGCTGAATGAAAAACAGGGAGGTATGGTAGGAGGTATCTGTATTTTGAGAAATTGTTCCAATTGGTTGTGGTATTCATCCATGTTTGAAAAGCACTGCTGTGGATTTGCAACAAGGTCCATGAAAAGTTTGATTCCTTTCATGTCTAATTTCATCATTGGTTGCTCCTTCTACTTGGCTTTTACATCTGTGTCATTTCTGTGTGTAAAATCGTTAACAGTTCCTTCAATTCAGGAATTTTCATTCAGTGATTTATGTGTGAAGCACTAATCTAAGCACTGGGGAAATGGCACAGAGAACAGGACAAACATGGTCCCCAGACATAACATTCCAGTTTGAGAAAACTGGTAATAAGCAGGTAAACAAATCAATGAGCAGGGTAACTTCATGTGGGGATTTGTGTTTTAAACACATGTAGAGTAGAAAATGACCAAGATAAAAATAATTATAGATGAGGTTGTAAGTGAAGCTCCTTTTCAGGAAGTGACATTTGAGCTGAGTCCTAGATGACAAAAAGAAGCTAGGCACAGACTGACTTTCTGCCAGTGTATCTAAAATGTGGATGGTCACCATGTGTTTCAAGAGCAGAGAAAAGCTCAAGTGCCTAGAGCCTGGCAGACAATGCACAGACTGGTGAGATGAGGTTGAAAGGGCAGATAGGAGCCATATTGTTTAAGCCATTGTAAGGCATTTGGATTGTATTGTGAGTGTGTGGGGTTAGAGAATGAGAATAATATCATCTGACTCATATTTTCAGAAAGTGACTCTGGTCACTGTGCAAAGAATGGACTGGAGAGGAAGAAGATAGTGTGTGGCAATAACCATTAGAAAACATTGCAGAAGTCTAGGGAGGAGCAAGCTGATGGTATCAGTGCTTCAGCCATGTGCAGAGAGAGAAATGGACCTTGACAGGATGTGTTTTGAGGTAGGGAAGGTACGACTTGCAGTATCTGTGTGTGTGAAGTATGTAGGGATAAGACAGAATAAAGTATGACCCTTCCGCTTTTTGTACAGCCATGCGGAAAAATGATAGTGCTATTTTGTGAGATCAGTCATTCCAAGTGCTTTTGAGACATTCTTAAGTTAATTAAAATTTAGGTCATCCAAGGTTGGTTGTAGTGAAAATTAGAAATTTTTTTAAATGCAGGTTGTATAAGAACTTCCCAAGCCAAGCAAGGCAGTCCAACATTCAAATCCAAGAAATACAGATAACTCCACAAAGATATTCCTCAAGAAGAGCAACCCCAAAGCACATAATGGTCAGATTCAGCAGGGTTGAAATGAAGGAAAACATGCTAAGGGCAGACAAAGAGAAAGTTCAGGTCACCCACAGAGGGAAGCCAATAAGACTCACAGCAGATCTCTTGGCAGAAACCCTACAGCCAGAAGAGAGCGAGGGCCAATATTCAACATCCTTAAAAAAAGAACTTTCAACCCAGAATCTCATATCCAGCCAAACTAAGCTTCATAAGTGAAGGAGAAATAAAATCCTTTATGGACAAGCAATTACTGAGGGATTTCATCACCACCAGACCTGCCCTACAAGTGCTCCTGAAAGAAACACTAAGCATGGAAAGGAACAAGTACCAGTCACTGCAAAAGCACACCAAATGGCAAAGACCAAAAATGCAGTGAAGAAAACGAGTCAACTAATGGGCAAGAAAACCAGCCAGTAACAAAATGGCTGGATCAAATTCACATATAACAATATTAACATTGAATGTAAATGGCCTGAACACCCCATTCAAAAGACACAGACTGTCAAACTGAACAAAAAGTCAAGACCCATCGGTGTGCTGTATTCAGGAAACCTATCTCACATACAAAGACACACATAGACTCAAAATAAAGGGGTGGAAGATTTACCAGGCAAATGGAGAACAAAAAAAAGCAGGGGTTGCAATCCTAGTCTCTGATAAAATGGACTTCAAACCAACAAAGATCAAAAGAGACAAAGAAGGGCATTACATAATGGTAAAAGGATCAATCCAACAAGAAGAGCTAACTATCCTAAATATATGCACACCCAATACAGGAGCACCCAGATACATAAAGCAAGTTCTTAATGACCTAAAACAAGATTTAGACTCCCATGAGATAATAGTGGGAGACTTCAACACTCCACTGTCAAAATTAGACAGATCAACAAGACAGAAAATTAACAAGGACATCCAGGACTTGAATGCAGAGCTGGATCAAGCAGACCTAATAGACATATACAGTATGCTCCACCCCAAATCCACAGAATATACATTTTTCTCAGCACCACATCACATTTACTCTAAAATTGACCACATAATTGGAAGCAAATTACTCCTCAGCAAATGCAAAAGAATGGAAATCATAACAGTCTGTAAGACCACAGTGCAATCAGATTAAAACTCAGGATTAAGAAACACACTGAATTCCACACAATCACTTGGAAACTGAACAACTTGCATCTGAGTGTCGACTAGATAAACAATGAAATGAAGGCAGAAATAAAGATGTTCTTCAAAACCAATCAGATTGAAGACACAACTTACCAGAATATCTGGGACACCTTTAAAGCAGTGTCAAGAGGGAAATTTATAGCAATAAATGTCCACATGAGAAACAAAGAAAGATCTAAAATTGACACCCTATCATCGAAATTGAAACAGCTACAGCAGGAAGATAAAAAAAAAACTCAAAAGTTAGCAGAAGACAAGAAATAACTAAGATCAAAGCTGAACTGAAGGAGATAGAGACACAAAAAATCCTTCAAAAAATCAATAAATCCAGGAGCTGGTTTTTTTTAAAAGATCAAGAAAATAGACCACTAGCAAGACCAAGAAGAAAGAAAAGAGAGAAGAATGAAATCTATGCAATAAAAAAGATAAAGGGGATATCACCAGTGATCCCACAGAAATACAAACTACCATCACATATTACTACAAACAGCTCTATGCACATAAATCAGTAAACCAGTAAGAAATGGATAAATTCCTGGACACTTGTACTCTACCAAGACTAAACCAGGAAGAAGTTGAAAACCTAAGTAGACCAATAACAAGGGCTGAAGTTGAGGCAGCAATCAATAGCCTACCAACCAAAACAAGTCCAGGTCCAAACGGGTTCACAGCAGAATTCTACCAGATGTACAAAGAGAAGCTGGTTTCATTTCTTCTGAAACTATATGAAACAACACAAAAGAAGGGAATCCTCCCTAACTCATTTTATAAGACCAACATCATCCTGATACCAAAACGAGGCAGAGACTCAACTAAAAAATAAAACTTCGTGCCAATATCCATGATAACATCGATGCAAAAATCTTCAATAAAATGCTGGCAAACCGAATGCAACAGCACATCAAAAAGCTTATCCATCATGATCAAATAGGCTTAATCCCGGGGATGCAAGGCTGGTTCAACATATGCAAGTCCATAAATGTAATCCATCACATAAACAGAACCAAAGACAAAAACTGTATGATTATCTCACTAGATGCAGAGAAGGCCTTCGACAAAATTCAACAGCCCTTCATGCTAAAAACTATCAAACTAGGTATCGACAGAACATATCATAAAATAATAAAAGCTTTTATGACAAACCTACAACCAATATGATACTAAATGGGCAAAAGCTGGAAGAATTCCCTTTGAAATCAGGCAGTAGACAAGGATGCCCTCTCTTACCACTCCTATTCAATATAATATTGAGCCAGAGCAATCAGGCAAGAAAAAGAAATAAAGGGTATTCAATTAGGAAAGAAGAAAGTCAAACTGTCTATATTTGCAGATGACATGATTGTATATTTAGAAGACCCCATTGTCTCAGGCCAAAATCTCCTGAAACTGATAAGCAACTTCAGCAAGTCTCAGGATACAAAATCAATGTGCAGAAATCACAGGCATTCCTATACATCAATAACAGACAAACAGAGAGCCAAATCAAGAGTTAACTCCCATTCAAAATCACTACAAAAAGAATAAAATACCTAGGAATACAACTAACAAAGGATGTAAAGGACCTCTTCAAGGAGAACTACAAACCACTGCTCAACGAAATAAGAGAGGACACAAACAGATGGAAAAACATTCCATGCTCATGGTTAGGAAGAATCAATATCATGAAAATGGCCATACTGCCCAAAGTAATTTACAGATTCGATACTATCCCCATCAAGCTACCAATGACCTTCTTCACAGAACTGGAAAAAAACACTTTAAACTTCATATGGAATCACAAGAGAGCCCACATAGACAAGACAGTCTTAAGCAAAAAGTACAAAGCCAGAGGCATCACACTGCCCAACTTCAAACTATACTACAAGGCTACAGTAATCAAAACAGCATGGTACTGGTACCAAAACAGAGACAGAGACCAATGGAACAGAACAGAGGCCTCAGAAGCAACGCCACACATCTACAACCATCTGATCTTTGACAGACCTGACAAAAAGAAGCAATGGGGAAAGAACTCAATGTTTAATAAATGGTATTGGGAAAACTGGCTAGCCATGTGCAGAAAGCAGAAACTGGACCCCGTCCTGTCACCTTACATTAAATTAACTCCAGATGGATTAAAGATTTACACATAAAACCTAACACCATAAAAACCCTAGAAGAAAACGTAGGCAAAACCATCCAGGACATAGACATAGGCAAGGACTTCATGACTGAAACACCAAAAGCATTGGCA